GCCGGGTCGTTGGCCGTCCAGGGTGGCCGTAGGCGGGGTTGGATGGCCCCCCGTGGCAGGGTCACATCCAGCCCCGCGGAGCCATCCTCATCCTTTCCACATGCCCTTTTACTGGGTGCAAACCAGCGCTGGCATCTGTGTCCCTGCCGTGAGATCCCCGTCCCCACGGTTGTGGCCCACAGTGGTGTCACCGCTGGGGAAAGTGTCCCCAGGCAGCTGACAGCCCTCCCAGCCCTCCAGACAGGCGTGAGATTCGGGGCGGGAAGGGCAGCACAAGCCGGGGACCGGCTGGGAGGGGGGGTCCCCAAAGGGCGCAGGGCAAGGGCTCCTCTCCGATGCCACCCGGGCGCTCGGCACAAAGCAGGGCACAGACAAGGGGAGCCCCGGAGTTGCTTTACGACGTGGCTGTTCCCGCTCCATCCCACCCACGGGGACCCACAGGATGGGCCCCAGGAGCGGACGTCACCGTTGTCTGGGTCCCGCGGCCGAGGGGCTGGTGCTTCACTGCCCGCACCTCATCAAGCTGCTCCTTCTGATCCCCCCGTACGGTCGCTGGGCCGTATTTTTAGCCTCCGGCGGGCACACAGAGGGTGTTAAGCCCATAACCTTCGACCCATTTTGCTGCTCATCGGCCGGCCATCTGCAGCTCAGCACAATTCATCTTGTGCTGGATGTGGAGACCATGTAGGGGAAACAGGAGGGAGAAGGAGGTGGAGGGGGGAAAGGGACTTTATATAAGACCTTAAAGGTCACAGGAAATAAAGCCCGTGACCAGCACACCGGCAGGAACACCCTAGTCTGAGTGACAGGAAATATTTCCCTCCTCCAGCAAGGGACGGCTCATGGTGGGCGCTGGGGTTGCCATTGTGCCCAGCCATGGTGGATGACAGACCCTCTGTCCCCCTGCTTTGGGTCAGAGGGACACACAGATCCCGGACAAAGCCCTGGGGATGTGCGGGGTCTCCTCTGCCTGGCCCTGCTCCCCCCTGACCCACCTTGACCCTCCCCATATGCCCACCCGAGCAGCTGTGCTCTGCTCCCAGCCCTCCAGGTCACCGGCTATTTTGGGGTCAAGCTGAGAATCTCCCCATCCCTGTCGGCCAAGGGGACAACTCAGGAGACCCAGGCTGATCTCCAGCCCACCGGGGCCAGGCAGGAGCATGCTGGCCCCTGGCCACCCGGGGCTTTGCAGGTCAGACATAGCACATTCCCCTTCAAGAGGCTCCCAGCAGGCTGGGCACCCTGGGCATCCCACGGGAAGGTGACCTGGAGGAGAGGGGTGCTCCAGTAGCTGCGCAGGACCCGTGTCCCTCCATCTGGGAGCTGAGCTGGGAGCTTGGAGGCACCCGCAAGCCGCATGCCAGCCAAGGACGGGGGAGGTTGGGGAGGGCAGGTTGAGGGTGACTGCGCATCTGGTTTCGGTGGGGCGAGGGGCCGCAGCAGCAGCTCCGCAGTGCCAGGCTGCACATGAGGGCGACTGGAAACCTGCGCAGGCTAAGACGTGCCCCGTCCCCCCGACAGCCAAGCCCAGCGAGCCCCAGCACCGTAGCTTTGCTGAGGCCAGCGAGGCTCTGCCGATGCTCAACAGGACACACGGCCTCGTGGCTCCCCGGCACGGAGGCAGTGCAAGAGCCAGAGGAGAAGGCTGGGTGCCAGCTGAGTGGCCATGGCCAGCGCTCCCCATGCCCGGCACTGCCCACTCTCCTCCCCACGGCCCGGGTGGAGATAGCATTTTCCCCTGGTTGGCATCTGCTTGCCAGCTGGAGTACAAAGGAATTATTTTCCTCTGAAACGCTTCCCTGGTATGCAGGCATTAGACGTTTCAGGGGATTATTTAGACTAGCAGCAACTGTTTGTAACAGAGACAGTATAGCTGGTGATCTTTTATTTTTGGCACCCATTGACTAATGTTAAGTTGCAGTTGGAGGCCTATGGAAAATACGGATGGCTTCTCCCGGGCTGCAGAACAAACTCATTGTGTCCCCGCCAGCCGCACAGCGCGGCAAATGCTTTCCTAGTGAAGGGATGCTCACAATAAATAGCTCCCGAGCCCTGCTGCCGGGGTCAGGTCCTTCCCGTGCAAAGGCAGGGTCTGTGCTGGGAGCCCCTCACCCTTCATCCCCCTCACCCAGCCCCCTGCCATGGCAGTGCTGGCTACGCTCTCCCAAGGCAGGGCTGGGGAAGGACCCTTTTAACCTGCCAAGTGCCCGCAGCCCCTTGAGCTACACTTTTCATTATTTCTTTTCCCCCTGTTTTTTAGGGCTGCTTTGCCGCCTTCCTGCAGTGCTTCGCAGCGGGCTGCAGCCATGGCCAGCACAGCCGTAGGGCCCCCTGCTAGCATCAGCTTTGCCCCCCCACAAATGCCTCTTTGCACCCAGCTTCTTGCGACAGTGCCAGAAAACTGAGGTGGAACTAGAGAAGGTTTAAGAAGGCATTTAAACCTCTTGGTAACAGCCACAAATCCTCCCTCGTGCCCTCCCCGGTGCTGACAGGGGCCATTGGGTGCCCCAGTAGCCATGTGCCGGCACGGGTAAGACTGACTGAGCTGTTCTCATCGTTTAGAGCCAAACGCCCCCGGCATGGACCATGTCGGCGGTGCTGCTGAGAGCCCCTTGCCAGCCACAGAGCCCAGGCTGCCGGATAAGGC